AGGGCAGCATATAAATATAATAAACAAACAAACAAACAAACAAACAAACAAACAAACAAACAACTAGGTACGCCAGTGCTTGGGGGGGGGAAACTTTACAGTCCATATACAATTTTTGCAGCACCTCAGTCATGTGATTGCCATTACAGAAAATACACATTGTCCTATGCCTGAGCTGTTTCTTTTTTCTGCACAACAGGGACACTGGAGAGAAAGGGATTGCAAAAGAATAAGCTGTTTGCTCTCCTATACACTGAAAGCAATAGGCATCAGAAGCTCAGGGTTGGAACCCACTCTTTACAATACATTTTTATTTTTGCAGTCCCTTCCCCTCTAATCTTTCCATTCTTTCTGGAAGGCAGGGGAGAAAAAAACCAAGCAAAATCTCACCTTTTCCTGATTATTTCCTCCACAGAGCAGAGAGATTGGAGAGGAAGGTATTGCAAAGAGAGTAAGCTGCTTTCTACAGCAATGTGACTACTCCAGGAGTAGGGAAACAATCCCAATTGGGAATCAGCAACTTGGTTGTCAAGTGAAGTGAAAATGTGACTGCTTACAATCTGACTTCAGCTTTCTTTTGCTTTTACAGACTTGCAAAGATTGTCGATGTGAGGATTGGTTTGCAAGTTAATTTTTCATCGCCTTTGCGAGTGTGAATGGTTGCTGTACAGGGCAGTCGCTAAATGAAGACTGTCTGTTTAGATTTGTGATCAGGACTGGATATCTTTGGCAAACTGAATGAGCCCTCCTTAAATAGTTGATACTGAACAGTAATTTTTAATGTAACAAACTAGGGATGCATTACATACTTGAGTAATCCCCATACAAATTGCGCATCATTTTATTTTAATGTTTTCTCACCCAAATATCCTATCAAAGCTGCGCCAATGGTACGCGCAGGGCCATTTAAATGTCCTCCTGAATTGTGGAGCAGTTTTACTGGAGTCGCATTTTCGTGAGATGAAATAGCTAGCTGCGAGAAACGGGAGGGGAAAAAAACAATCTTGTTTAGACAGAGTTTATAGGAACAATACTTTTTGAGCATTTTCACAGATTGGCAGAAAAACAAACTCCTCAAGCCTAAGAGAAGAAAGCTTAGGTATGATTCTGTGATTAATACAAGCAGAAGAATAGTAGAAAGGAATAGTTTCCTTGTATAATGGAAGGTGTTTTTTTCCAGATGGACAAGATCAGAAACAGTTTAGCAAACATCTTTAATTTCCCCAGTTTGAAGATAAACACTTTGTGGACACTTGTCATCACTTAGGCCCATGATGGCAAACCTATGGCTCGTGTGCCACAGGTGGCACATGGAGGCCTCTCTGCCGGCACGCGAGCCATCGCCCCAGCTGAGCTCCACCGCACATGCGCACGCACATTTTTGGGTCTCTGCAGTGCGTGTTGTTGAATCAAAATGCAGTTAAAACACTGTAGAAGTCATCAAGAATATAAATATATACATCCAACAGGAACAGGAAGTGCCTCACAGGAGCAGATAAAGGTAAATCCTAGAGAGGCAGGAAATGCATCACTGAACCAGGGAGATGAATGCTAGAGAGGAATAAAGCTGCATACAAGGCAGACATAATACCTGTAATAGCGTGCACATACATGGGGGGGGGGGAGGTTGTTGTGCG